TCAGATGAACTCATAATGTCCGTCATAAATCGTATTCTAGTTTTATAATTTCTCTGGATTAAACTTTGATGATGACCCTTTTGGTTAATTGGATCCTGAAGATATTTAGATAGCAGCTAATTAATTGGATCCTGAAGATATTACATGTACTGACCAATTATCGTTTACATAGCAGCTAATGAATAGTAGTTCAAATCTTGTGATTTGGTAATTTTGGTTTAGCGGTGGAAAATAAAACCATATAACTTAATTCATATTTTACTAAATTCACTTTTTATTCATATTCATATAATAAGTGGATTGTAGTCCAACTCATTTTAGCTCAAATCAATTTCAACAATTCAATTCGCTCGTTTGTCACCACTAAAATAGATAGATATATACCATGTACATTGAACTTTCTTATTAAATATAGGATCATAATTTAGGCCATTGTTAATTTCAAATTGCAATCAATCTCCAAGAAAATTTCAATAATAATACAAAGTTGTTACTAGACTTTTATCTACAAATTGCAATAACTTTAATCATCATCTCTAATAATTTGTTTAAATATGAAAGAAATTAGCAACTTGTTTGTGCAAGTGCATTCTCACCAGCCTCCTCAAGAAAAGTAAAAGGGAAAAAGAGGAGAAGAAGCACGAGACTCCATCAAGTTGATAATCTTAAGAAACGAACCATATTGTAAGCACATATTTCTCCGTTTAATTTATTTATCATACTTGATACGATAAGAAATTTAATAAAATATATAAAAAAAATTAAAACTTGTTATTCAATGACTATAAAAGCTTTGAATTAATCAAAAGTAAAATAAAAAAATTAATATTAATTAATTTTAAAAATAAAATACGATCACATAAACTGAAAAGAAGAAAGGTATATAATATGTTTCTTTTTTTTTCTTCAAATATTCCATTCCTCACGTTGAAATGTATATAAAGCTAAAATTTCGACAAATTAGATGGTTGCCCTTTCGACATGGTTATGACTTTACTTGAACTGTTTGCACAAAATAAATTACTCTTTCTGTCGTTATTACGTAATTTGAATCGACATGAAATTTAAGAAATATAAAAAGTCTTTGTATGTTTAAAAATCATTTTTTAAATTAGTAAATTTTAAAATAGAATAGTACATTTTTATAGATTTTTTATTAAATAAACAAGATTCAACATAAGTAAAATATTGATAATATTATTATAAAAGTCTTTGAAATATGTCTTGTTTTTTACTAACTAAAGAAGTAAGTATGTCATATAGTTGATGGATTCAAATTTTCATTAAGGGAGTTTGAAAACTTAAAATATATCTCATGATTGAAACTTTGAGTTTAAATCTAAACGCCTATGTCAACCTCTAGTCCTATATATGTTAAAGGGGATTCAAAATCACTATATATACATAAAAATAAAATAAATATTTTATAAATATAGTATAATTTTACCATAAGATTCAAATGAACACCCGACACCTAATCCACCTGTGGCGTCGTATATAAATATACATTGGAACAGAGGAAGCACCAACATGAGTGTGCACTGGTGGGAGTGTTTCACCCTTAACCAGAAGTCTCGGGTTCGAGCTCTGAGTATGAAAAAAATTATGTTGGGAGTGCCACCCCTGAATGGGTCCTACAGTGCGCGATTCAAATTTATTTGGAGCTTTAGTGTGGACTCCAAACACCGGACGGGAAACCAAAGAATAAAAATGATTTTACCTACATAGAAAAGACATGTTGCGTAATGTTTTTCATGTTTGACTTTAATATATGTTCTTAGCATCACTTGCAAGAAAATTTACCTAGCGACGTCACTTCATGCAAATAGTTTACTATTACCCTAGAATATCATTTGCATAAATAGTGATTACTAGAAGCCAATTCGTGACTAACCTCTTTCATTCTGCTTACTCTTTTTCCCCCTCCCTTCTATTCGGCATAAAATATACTTTTATGGGAAAATTGTGCAATATAGCAAATTATTAATTCAAAATACATGTTATAGCAACAATTTCATTTAATTCTAATTCACAGTAAACACATTGTCATTCACCTCTCTCCCCTGAATCTCGATGGCCACTCTCAGTTCTCTCCCTTGCCTCTCTCACTTCATACAAACACAAATGTATAAATTGTGTTTGTATTTGTATAAAGCGAGAGAGATTGTATATACAAATACAAATACATATATCACCCTCTTATACACTTATAATTACTAATACAAATATTCTCCTCCCCAGTTCTCTTTTGTCTTTCTCTCTCTCGCTTTATACAAACAAAAATTATACAAATGCAATGTATAATTTGTGTTTCCATAAAGCGAGAGAGAGATTTGATATACAAATACAAATGTTTTAATTCGATTCAATTGTATATTAACTCGATTCAATTGTATATAAATTCAAATTTTATGCAGATATACAAACACAATCATTGATACATATACATAGTAGTTACATATATACAATTATCTAACTGATATACATATACGATTCACCTCTCTCTACTCTCTGCCATGTCGCTCGCCTCTCTCCTCTCTCTCCTAATCTCGCTCGCCTCTCTAGCCTAACATAAATAACATATACGTATACAAACGCAATTTTCATAGACACAGACGCCTGATTTATACAAATCAGATGCTCCGTAGCAAACTATGTTTGCTATAGAGCGCAAATATGATTTTTATGTTTGTTATTCCAAAAATTTACTCTACTTTTATTGGCATCTATTCTAACACTTAGATAGGAGAACTTTTACCACTCAATTTTAAAAAATGGTTATGCGAAAATTAATAAAACATAATCTAAAATCTTATTTAATCATAGAAAATACTCTTAACTTGATTTATAACAAAATCATGTGCAACGAAACAAACTAAACACTCCTCAAGGAACTAGTTTAAACAGGTACACGAGCTTCTACAAAGTACAACTTATGAAAGAATAAGACACAACTCTCACCATAAGAAAAGAGAAATAAAAGTTATCAGAGATCACATTGTCTTCACCTACATATGTAACATCACTGAATTCTGCAACCAGACTATGCCAAGTGGCATAACAAGAATAGTATCAATACAAACAACATGTACTGGTAGATATCATCAGTCGATCCGAACCCACCACGTAAGATCGTGAAAATAATCAAAGAAACATGTAACTTGAATATAAAATTAGGGCCCAATCCACCCATTCATCACTCTCACTACAAGCATTACCGTATAATTCATACACTCTATCTCAAGTCACCCTACCTCCTTCCGCTGCCAACTCCCCCACCGAGGTCATTCCACCCTCATATAGATCATGATCTAACCCTTCTTATAACATAGAGTTTTCCCCAAGACATGGCCACTACTTTCTCTGTTACTTAGCTTACTATTTTTCTCTCAAGCTCTCATGACGACATTTTGCCTAAACAGCGCTTCAGTTATACAAATATGAGCAGGCAACACAATTTAATTAAGCAGTATATATGCCATTTTAATCACAACTATAACATAGCTCGTACTTATCATTCAAAAATCACATGATTACAATACGACACCCTAATAAATCACCCTTTTAATCTTAATTCGGACCTTCAGGGATCCCTAATCATCATCTACAATGTTTAACATGCAATTTCGATCTACACAAAAGCCTTTTCAGCATTCGAAAACAATCCTGGCCCACTCATAGATCAACATGTAACATATATAACACAATTAATCTACCCGGTCCACTCATGGAACCCTCCCCCCCCCCCCCCAAACTCCTCCCATACAAATGTTAGTGTATCGGTGTGGTACCCGTTCAAATTGTTAGTGTATCGATATGGTATCCGATCCAATAAGAGTATATATCAGCATGGTATCTGATTCAGTAACAATATATACTAGTGTGATACCTAATTCAAGAATAATATGTATAGACATGACAAACTGATCTAATAAATCAAACACACAACATAATTATAATCACAATGAACAAAAATCACACCTGTACACTCAAGTAAGCACATTCATTAAATTCAATTGACAACATTTTTCATTTCACTCTCTGTGATCCTTACAACATTGTATTTTGTTATATTTACTTTTTTAATAACAAATCAAATATTCAAATCGCTAGTAAACAGACCTAAAAAGTGTTAGATTAAGACGTGTGTTTTTAACCTCGTATAATTCAACGGTTCCATTTTTAGGGTAAACAATTGTGTGATATATACGTATTAGTGGAGTTATTAGTTGTTATGCCATAATTGAAAAGGCTTTCACGATGATGAAGTTGATTAAGACTAATATGTAGAATTGAATGGATGATGTATTCTTTGTGTTGATCTTAGCTTATATAGAAAAAAATATACATAATATACTATTTATGATAAAATTATTATAAAGACATTTTAAAAAGTTAAAAAATTTGTTTAGGAAATTTTGTCTATTATCAACACCGTTTATGAAAATTTGTACATACACACGTGACTACGTGAGGCGTGTTTTTATTTGTTCTTTGAGATATTATTACAGTACTTCCGTGGGTAAAAAATAGTTGATAATTAATGAAGAAAACGAAAAGAGTTTCTGAATTTTTAATTGATTCTCTTATCAGTAGATGTTTTTTTTTTTTGGAAAAAATATTTTTAGTGTGTACGTGGCATCTCTTAAAAAAGATGGCAGATGAAAAGGATGAATCAAACGACAAACCATTGGCTGAGTGTAGTTGTTCAGAACACCGCCATGGCTGGGAGAGTCGGCTGTATTTATTGGAGATATGAAGGGCTATTTAGTAATTTCAGCAGAGGAAACCTCGGATTACAACAGTGTGGCAGATCACGTAATAAAAGAGAAAGAAGAAGGGCAAAATGTAAGTAGACTCCGTCCAAACGAGTTTTAAGCAAGTTGATGATCCACTTGCAGAAGCCTGCGTAAGCGATGTGCTAAACATCTCCCTTTATTTTTAAGAGTTATTCGTAAGTATTGTACATATATATTCCTTTCTTAATTTCTTGATGGTATATATGTTATCTCTCTAATCTTTTTCTTTTTTTTTTCCAAAGAGAAGAGAGGCGTAGAGAAGAAAAAAAAAGAAAAAAGGATGCCTTCTTCCCTTCAACTGCATCGAATTAATCCGAACACCGCCACACTAGTGGTTAACAACTTCCACAAACAACCGCAATTATCTCAGGCTACAACATGGTTCAGTCCGGTTTCCATTTCTGTCCCTGACAACGTATTGCATTACCACACCCACGTTGTGGGTCCCAACCAGTGCTGCTCCGCGGTGCTGCAGTCTATTTCCGCCCCAATCGACACTGTCTGGTCCCTCGTCCGCCGATTCGATAACCCACAAGCATACAAACACTTTCTCAAGAGCTGCCACGTCATCGTCGGTGACGGTGACGTCGGTACACTTAGGGAAGTTCGGGTTGTATCCGGACTTCCGGCGGGTTCCAGTACGGAGAGGCTGGAGATTTTGGATGACGAGAAACACGTGTTGAGTTTTAGCGTTGTGGGAGGAGATCATCGGCTAAATAATTACCGATCGGTGACGACGCTGCACCGGGCGGCGGAAGAAGGATCGACGGTGGTGGTAGAATCGTATGAAGTAGATGTTCCACAAGGGAATACCAAGGAAGAAACGTGTGTATTTGTGGATACAATTGTGCGGTGCAATTTGCAGTCGCTGGCGCAAATCGCACAGAACAAGGCTAAAACGTCAAAGAGTAATAAATTAACTATGAATCATGATTAATTAATTATTCTGTTTTGTACATTTCGGGATTTTTTTTTTTTTTTTAAACTTAGTTGTTACTTGTTATGAATGATGGATAGAGTACTTTTTGTTATTGTAGATCATAATGAAGACCCACAACTGAAAATTCATAGATTTCGTAGACTGTAAGGTTGGTTCTTGGAATTGTTTAAACGTGTTACTATGATATTTGTATACCTACCAATCACTTTGTCACCATCACATAAATTCTTCTCAATATACAAAGTATTAACACTTCCACCCGTTTAGTTACTAGTTAGCAGTCAAAAATATTTTTCTTTCATCCTAATTTTCTCAGTTTGTTAATTATTGTGAAAAATACTTTATCAAATTGTTTATTATGGTAACTTATGTACTATAGTTTTAAATATGTAAATTTTATATTCGAACTTACACTAAACATCAGTTAGTTTGAACTTTCTATTTTGAATTGAAGTCAATTAAATTGAAATAGAGTATTAGGGAGTATTTATTTCTTCCTTTCTTCTTCTCTTTACTTGTTTGGTTAAGAAGGGTTCAAATTAGAGGCCTCCTAATAAGTTGGTAGCTTTTGTACCAAGATTGGACCATTGTGCAATTTTTACACATTTCCAAGTGTGGTGATTACCAGTTCTAATAAAAGCAATTGTTCTAGGTTTTGGATTTCCTTTTGTGACTTATTGTATTACTTGAAATAATACATTAAAATATCAAAAATACAAGGAGTCACCAATATAGTTGAGATTGATATCCAGTAATTAAGTAGTACTGTTCTTCCCCTCATCTTTGCATTAATTAAGTTTGAAACATTTTACCCTATGAGGTTGAAATTGGAATTTGGGCATTACTATTTCTCTGCGGTAATTTTTTTCCTTTTCCCTTGACGGTTGAATGTGGCAAATTCGTGGTGCTCACTTCCTCTAGACCTCAAATTAGGAAACAATTTTGATATTAGAAATGTGAAATCTTGCATTAATATTATCAAAAAAATAAGATTAACCCTCTGAATGTCCACAAAGCATTACTAAGTAGAAAAAGAATTAGAATATTCCAGTACATATCCACTTCCGTGGCAATTCGGGGAACTGGAAAATATCTTGTTGGCAGCGCCGCTCAAGAATAGGTCTTGAATTGCGCGATTCGAATTTAGTTGGAATCCAATGGAGGCTCCGGAGGAAAACAAAAGTTATTTAACACAATTAATGAACTTATGTCTATTTTTTAATTCCAAATTGTCTAGTTAAAAGCTTTAATATCCCCCAACAATTATTATAGTGAAAGGGTTTCACCAATTGTGAGTAAATTATTTTATTATAATAATCGATGATAAATAAAGTAGATGGCTTTTGAACAATGAATCTGCTGGCTAAATGGAAACTAACAATTTAAATACTCTAGTGTTCTTTTTATAATAACAAAAATAGTATCGTTAGCTAGGGGTTTAAATTTCCGTATTAGGGCATGTTCAAGAAAAGTTGAACTAGTTCATTTGTTGACCAAATATATTGAAATAAAGATAAAATAAAATATGGATTATTCTTATATTAAAAAATAAATAAAATAGTACTAATATTGGTCGTCGTGATCGAAGAATCAAACAAGTTGATATTTATAACCAAGTTGGTGTTCAAACAAAAGGCAACTTGTGGTTTTGCTTTTCCTAATTTTCTCTTGGGATTAGGAAGAAGGCAAGTTGGTTTGCAAGTGGGCACGGAGGGCTTTATTCAATGGAGTACTTATTAATATATGTTTCCCTATACATTATATACATAGTATGGTACGTTGTAACTTGTAAGTACTAGTTGTTTTTTATTTATTTGATTTATTATTTTTAGTTTATCTAAAAAATTGTTTTTTTCTAATAATTATTTAATTATAATTTTTTATATGATATGTTTAGTATAATGTTAAAAACTATTTTAATATATTTTTAATTTAAAATTATAAAAAATTAAAATTAATTTTCAAATTTTATAAAATGGATAAAATACTTACTCCCTCAATTCATTTTTACTTGTCACTGTTTGACTTGACATACCGATTAAGAAAACAATTATTGATATAGGCATTTTATCAAACTATCTCTATTTAATGTTGCTTAGTACTTCCTACGTCCAACAATACTTGTCCAATTCAGAAAATTAAGAGATGAGCAATTTATCTTTTGTGTCTATTTTAACTTTGCTATTAAATACTATTTATCATCTAACACATTTCTCAAATCATTAAATTTACTAAAGTTAAAGGATAATATAGTAATATTACTCTTATTATTTATTGTATTTTAAGGAGTATCAAATCAATAGTGGACAGAGTATTAGGTATTGAAATGATTTGAAGAATAAGTATTTAATGTTGAAGATTAAATATGAAAAAATAATTATTTTTTCTTGATAGGTAAAGTGACAAATAAAAATAAAAATTTATTTTAGAAATATGTGACGAGTAAAAATGAACGAATGGAGTATTTAAATAAAGGTTTCAAATGTTGTTGATACTATTCGGCCCCTGTGTACATCACGAGAAGTCAGTTTCTACACCTGACTCTGATGCTTTAATTTGCCCTTCGCTTTTAGTCTTCGTTAAATAAATTAAATTCAACTTAGGGGGCGTTTGCTAATTGATTAGTACACTGACAAGTAGCTTTGTGATAATATCAAATAATTTTTGGATTAATTTTGGTGTCATTTAACTATTTATTTGGTTGATAAGTTTGACATAATTTATCTCGAAATCAAGTAATTAGTATTGAAATAAGTTATTTTTCTCCTTAGGTAGAAGAATAATATCGGGATTAACTTATTCTGAAATAAAATAGGTTGAAATGATAAAAGTATCTCCTTAAATTCTTTTTATACCTTACTTTTTATATCCACGTGTATTCATATTATTGTAATACCATGTATAACATTCATAATCTTCACTACTTTTTATTTTTATGACAATTCATATTTTTCCATTAAAAAATTACATGATATAATATAATTTTTATTTTTGAATTTATTTGACTAGTTTTTATGTTTATATATTTTGATTTCTCTAATACTGAATTATATATTTTAAACTATATATTCTTTTAATCAATTGACAGCTTGTATTTTATATATCAACTAAAATAAAAATAATTTTAATATTTTACAATTTAAGAGTGATATGTGCTTAAATGAAGTAACATAAATAATAAATCTTCTTTTACTTTAACAAACTTAAGATGAAAGTTTTATTTTTAAGTAAAATAAGATGAAAGTTTTATTTTAAACACACGGTATAATTAAGGAAATTCACACACACAAATATTTTAGCTAAAAAAGATGAAAAATTTATTTTAAGAATGAATAACTAAGGCTTGTTGAAAAAATTTGAAAACTAAATATATATAAAGTGAAGGTTAGTTACTTGGCGCAAATTATTAGTTTTGTCCGCAAACTATTGACAGCCTTAAGAACATGTCTCTACTTGGCTAATTAAACTTAGATACATCCCGATATGGCAACATGACATAGCAAGTGGTCTCAAACTCTTGTAGGAGCATGAAACTCTTAATAAAAGATCAAGAGAAGTGTTGAAAAAACACCCTTAACCTTGGCGAAAATTTAGGAGTGTGTTTTCACTCATGTTACAAGATCGAGGTGTATTTAAGTTAAGTTAGTCAAATAAAGGTGTTTTTAAAGCTATTAATAGTTCGAGAATGAAACTAATAATTCTAAATTACAAACCAAACAACATATTAATTGAGTTAAACATTATATATAATAAAAAAATATTACAAAATAAATTATTATTTATACAAAATTTAATACATAAATAACGTAATCCTAACCAACTATCAAACCACCCCAAGTGTTTTCACCCGTTTTTGTGTTACTCAGGCTGCTACCTTCTCTTCTGTTCATTGCCGCTTGCAGCACAGAACCTATTCCTAATATTAAAATGGTTTATATTGATTTTATACCCTTTTTAAGAAAATGTATATCTTATAATTTTTCACTCTAAATTTAATTATTGTTACTTCTATTTAGTTATTTAATACTAATAATATAAAAAAACTCTCACAATTTACTAAAAGAGATAAAAAGAAATCCATTTTTTAAAATATAGAGTCCAACTAAAATGTAACGGGGGAGTATAATACATATTCACTAGTTTTAGCTTTAATGGTATGCATACATGTGTTAAAAATTATATACATAAAATAATTAGTACTTTTTCGGTCTCAATTTCAGTGTTTATTATAAAAAAATCTATTTATCTCAAAAAGAGTTTGTATTTCTCAATTAATAAGTTTTCAATTTCAATATTCGACATGATTAGGGATGTTCATGGTTTGGTTTGGATTGATTATTGATTAAAAGCAAAATCAAACCAATTTAACCATTTTTTTAAATTTCTAAAACCAAACCAAACCAAATGAAAAATAACCGTCGCTTTTGTTATTGTCGGTTTGGTTAAGTTTTTTTGGTTTATTCCGTTTGAAAGTAATAATTTTTTTGAGGACGTTTATATCTCGATAGACACAAGCACCTAATACATGAACAATCCACAGAAAAGTAATTGTCGGTTCAATTAAACAATTAAGCAATACTAGAGTTATTATTACACGAACAAAGTGATTCAATTAAGAGAAAGTGTGACTATTTTATGTGAAATAGGGTAGGTAAAGACTAAAATGAATTTTGATGGACTTGGACTTAGGATTGTTGTAGTTGGGCTAAAGTGTTGGGCTTGAGAAAATGGTAAAGTTAAAAACTTAAGTTAATTAAAATTTAACAAAATATTTATATTTGATTTATGAATAATATATAAATAATTATAAAATTTATTTATCTAATTTATTGATTCGGTTTGGTTATTTTTGCGGTAGTTTTTTTAGTAAAACCAAAACCAAATCAAATAGTATCGATTTTCAAAATTTAAAACCAAATCAAACCAAATATCAGTTTTTTTAATCGGTTTGGTTTTTTAACCATAACCATGAACAACCCTAGACATGATATAGTTAAAACCACAAAATTTGAAGGACAACAGACATCTTTAATATAAGATCACAAAATTTAAAAATTCTTATTTATCATTTCTTAATTTTGTGTCCAATAAAAGTAACACTTAAATTAAGATGGAGGAGGTAATAGGTTCCGAATTCAGTCATGTTCAAATGAATTATAGTAGGGAATTCGAATTTGAACTAGT